GAGCCCTGCAGGTTCTTCACCTGCCCTGTCTTCGCGTGGCTGTGATGCCGACGCACCGCCCTCGCCCTCCTGGACCGACCCCCACAGGTCTGTGCCAACCGGGCTGGTGAGGATCCTGCAGAGCCTTGCAGCTGTCCTTGGTACGATTTTCCACAGACGCACACACATGCACTTCTACGGATGTGCATAAAATCGCGTTATATGACTGCGTTATGTTGAGGCGGATCAGAGTGACCAAAAAGTGCCTCAAGCAAAAGTCCCACGACAGTGCAGCCCCCAGATCTCCCGTTTACCCCTGAAGTGTGTGCAGCCCTTCCGAGTCCACCTTTCTACCCTCCTGAGAGGACAGAGACCCCCTCCCTGCCTCCCGCATGTTCCCTCTGCAGCCTGCAGCGCTCTGCTAGGGGGAGCCGGGCGACTCCTCTAACAGACAGCAAAGTCTGTGGAAAGAACCGATCCAAAGCTAACCCTCAGGGCCCAGTGCTTTGCCTTTCGCTAGCTTTCCCTGCTTTTCCGAAGCTGCGCTCTCTCTCTCGAGGGGTCGCTCACGCCCACCTTCAGCCAGGAGGAAGGGGAAGGGTCCACAGTTCTTTGGAGGAAAGCAGAATCAAGCAGAAGCCATCGAGAAAACGGACGGTACAGAAAATGTACTGACTGCCTGTCAGTACCCGTGAGATGGGAAACGTGCCTGTGGCTCGGCTGTGACCTCCTTCCTAGCTGAAGCTGGGGCAGGGGCCTGCTCCTCAAAGACACACGCGCATCACCGGCCCTCGGGCTGCGGTCAAGCTGGCGCTGATGCGGCTGGCTGCAGCGGCTTAGATGCTGTGTTCCTGGGGACACACGGAGCCAGGTGTGTTGGGCGCCCACAGGAAAGAGGCCTCTCAGAAGTACCTGTGTGGCTGGAGCCAGCAGTGGTGCCCACGGGTACCACCGCCGCTTGGGGTCTCCGCCCCTCGCTGAAACCTTTCTTTTGATTGTCTGCCCTGCTCTGTGCCCTCCGCATGCTGAAATCCTAACACCGTAAGGGCAAAGGCCGCGCTCTGTCCACTAATACGTGCTGGCTCTTGGCACCACGCCTGAACCACAGTGGCCAAGGGCTGAGGGCCCACTCCACCACCCTGTGGAGCGGTCCGTGGTTCTGTAAGCATCGCCTGGCCGGTCACAGAAGGGGCGCTGGGGTTCCCGCCTCCCAGGGTTGTCCTGAGGACTGGGTGAAAGAACCCAGCGTGGAGACAAAGCCGTGCCTGGAACGCGAAGACTCTGTGTACGTGAACTGGTACTCTTTTATCACCATTAGGCTCGGAGAAAGGCGTCTCAAAACAGGGAGCAGGAGAGAAGACAGAGGACTCCAGAGACACACCCAAGTGGGTGGCTGCACTGCCCAGGTGGTATCCCCGGTGCAGGGCGAGATGGGGAGGTGGATCTCTGGTGGGCTCAGCCTTGCCCCTCACCCCAATCACTGCACTTCCCTGGCCACACCATGCCCCTGACACCCCAGGGAGCCATGGACTTCACATCTGAACACGGGCCATGCACACTGCCCCTGGCCGTCCACTCCCCAGTGGTCTCCTAGAAGGCAAGGTCCTCCCCTCCCTGCTTCTCCAAATATCCACTCAAGGGGCCAGGCTTCCAAGACGCTTGGCTAAGGAAAAGAAGGTAAGAGCGGTGCCTGTGTGTAGAGCAACTGTGACGAGGAGAGGGCACAAACACCTCACCGGGGTCTCTCACGCCCGGATGTGGTTGCACATGGAGGGGCCAAGGGGCTTCGTTCCCATGGGCGATGAGGAGCGCGAGCAGTTCTCACAGAGCAGCCACTGACGCCAGCACCACCAGGCTGTACCCAAAGAAGCTGCCAGGCCACCAGGGCAACTGGACTGCGGAGAAATGGACCAGGCACAGCGAGGCAGGGGCTCGCACGCACACGTATACATGCACGAACAAGCATGCACCTGCACACACAGCCAGAGGGCCAGCGTCAGCGGGCAGCTCAGCCATCCTCACTTTCTGCTGAGAGCCGATGGCAACAGCTCCGGGGGCCACTTTGGTACCTGACGCTTTTACTTTTTATTGGGAGAGGATGAGATATTTGGACAGAAAGGTTTAGAAATTTTTTCGAAGATGACACATACACAGAAGAAGCTGCAAGGAGACAAACATCGAATGACGGAGTCAGAGTGAAGGCAGCAGGTGTTTTCTGGGAAGAGGACCGTGGCCACACTGACGGATGCCAGGGCCCACACAGGGATCTCTTCACAGACAGGACTCTCCTGCGCGCTGCTGAGGCCGTGAGCCGGGCTGGGGAGCCTGTGCCCTGGTCCCTAGTTGGGACCCTGTTGGGTAGGAAGGTCTCTTCTTTGGTGCTGTGACTACACAAGGCTCCGATTTTCTATGCACAAGTGTCTTGGCAGGGGTGGGGGTGGGGAGCTGCCATGCTCACAATTGTCATCTGCAAAGAGTTTTGGGTTCCTTCCTAGAAAGGTTATGGACAGGAGCAAAGACTCTACACAAAGGCATTAAATAAAACAGGAACAAACTCCCTCCCTCTTGATGAATCTGGACAGCCAGGACGTGCAGTGCAGGGGATGTGGCCCCCTGTGTCCGGAAGGACTGGGCCTAAGACTCTATCCCCCAAGCTAGTTTACCTGGGCAAGCCCTTGGCTGGAATGCACCTGCAACCTGGGGTCCACAACAGTCCATGCCCACCTCACAGGGCTCCCAGCAAAGAGCGGCAGCTGGTGCAGAGGGCACTCTCTGAGCCATTGGGAAGTGTGTTGTGAATATCAGCGTCTGGCCTGGCAAACACAGTGATCAGCAGAGCGAGCCGTGTGGGTGGAGGCCACGGCTTGGGGGTACAACACCTCCCACCCCCTATCGGCGTGTCACTGACTCGTTCTCATCCAGGTTTCCAGGAACTGTGGGGAGACTGGAGGAGAACAATGAAGCTTGAAGACTTCACTTGCTCATGGCTGTCTCTCACTGGTAATGGCGGGGGTGCCTGGCTCCCTACCACCACCTGAAGCTCAGAGAACCTCCCTCACTGCCGGACAGAGGCTGGGTCCCCAGGGATGGCGGCGGCATGCAACTGTATACAGAAGATCCACACCAGTTATCCACAGAGGATCCACGCAACTGTCCAGAGGGTCCACACAACTGTCCACAGAGGGTCCACACAACTGTCCACAGAGGATCCACGCAACTGTCCACAGAGGATCCACGCAACTGCCCACAGAGGGTCCACGCAACTGTCCACAGAGGGTCCACACAACTGTCCACAGAGGATCCACGCAACTGTCCACAGAGGATCCACGCAACTGCCCACAGAGGGTCCACACAACTGTCCACAGAGGATCCACGCAACTGTCCACAGAGGATCCAGCCCCTTACAGGTCGGATGCCTTCCGGCCTCCGGCACACTGCACAGTGAATTCAGCGCTGGCAGCGAGCCCCTGTCTGACTTACTCAGTAACCAGATGTCTTTGCTCACAATGGCCCAGACACCAAGATTTCCCTGTGTGACCTGGCTGTGTTGTGAATGACGACCCTAGTATGCTCCACTGACTGCAGTACCATGCTCAAAATAATAGAGGTTCTCTGGAGACCAGAGATGACACGAGTCAAATACAGAGCACAATAAAGAAGGCAGCAAATACAATCAGAAATTCACTCATTTAAGGTCAGTTCATCCACGGACGCCCTGACCTAATTCCAAATAAGACTAGTCTCGGGACTACATCGTGAACCGCAGTGTGGGCTCAGCTCCCTGTGGGTACAATCCAAGGGGGGTTTTCCTTGGAGAAGCTCCGACGCCTTTGATGGTGTCTTGTTCTGCAGGACTGGGAAGCTCACTTCCCCTCTGCCTTTCCTAGACCCTGCAGCTAAGACATCCCTCGGGAGACTAGTGTGTCACAGGGGCAGGACCTAAGCAGTAAGGGGTCTCCCTGGCTGGAGGTGACTACTGGCCCCCTGACACTCTGCCAGGTCACGTTGGCCCCTCTCTCACGAGAGCCACTTCCCGGTCCCTCTCCCAGCCAGCCAGCACTGCCGGTTACTGAGTGAGCCACCCGGGTACCAGTCTGAGGGCCAGGGAACCCAGGCAGATGCTGCAAATCACATATAAGGCAAGGTCGGGGCCCTGATGCTTCTCCCAGTCAGCCAGGCAGGCCACTCTGTCCTGCTGGAAGCAGCACTCTCTCCCCACTTGCAAGGCATGAGTGGTCACAGCAGCCTCCCCAAATGCCCAGCTGAACGGCTGTCTGTTTCCATCAGTTATCAGAACACAGGTGGCTGCCGTGTCAGAGACAGAGCACTGAGATGCTGTAATTACTCTCTAATTACTCGAGAATCAACTCACCCATACCTCTCTACGCTAATTCAGAACGACACACGGCACAAACTGGAAGAGGAGTCACAAGGTTGGAAGGCAGGCCCGGTAGCTGCTGCAAGGGAACAGGCACCTAAAACAAGTCTATGCAGCAGTCCCCCCTTATCTGCAGGGCGTGTGTCCCAGGACCCCACGGGTACCTGAAACCGCTGAGTACCAAACCCTATAGATAGGAGGTTTTTTTGTCCTGTACATATACATCCACAATAAAGTTTAATTTATAAATTAGGCACAGCAAGAAATTAATGATAATTAATAACAAGATAGAAAAATTCTAGCAATAGACTACAATGAAAGCTATTTAAAATGTATGAATTGTTTGCTTCTGGAATTTTTCACCCTGCATTTTTGGACTGGTGTTGACTGTGGGTGGCTAAAACTGTGGAAGGAGAATTTGCAGCTAAAGGGAGAACCACTGCACTCCCAGAACTTCAGTATCAATACATAGTTCTATTGATCAAGGCTTAACTGGATTACTTTTGTAAACCATGCAGTAGTTCATGGTACCAAGAACAACTAAGGTCATATATGCTAGATGACATAATGAGAAATTAAGTCTTCAAGGAGGAGCTTGTATTTGGGTCTCTGACTGTAAACAAATCCACATAATAACAAAGAATCAACATCTAAATAGACTTTTATTTTGATTTTACTTGTTTGGACACAAAAGAAAATTCATCAGCTTTCATTAGAGTCTCCCTAAGTGTTGGAAACACATTAAACTCAGAAATAGTGGACCTTGTAGAAAAGCATCACAAATTAAAAATATATTTCTCCATGTGGTAAAAGTGCTTTCAATCCGATTCAAGGGCACAGCAAAGGTGTTTTTGAGACACCATCGAAAATTTGGCCTCCAGTCCGTGGCATCGAAGGGTGGGGGTCATCACCATGGACTTGGCTAGAGAGGACATGGGGTTTGAGAGCATGCTGCCAGCGACACTTTAATGAACTGAGTGTGAACACGGAGAAACGTCCCAAAGCCTGAGTAGAATAGGTTTTGCATTTGTAAAAATGAGGTGTTGACACAGACTGGGCTGCAGGGGGATCGAGCAATTCCAGAAATGACTTACTTCTGGTCCACGGGGACGGTCAGCCCCGTCCACTGCCTGGGTGCTGAGGGGCCCCATGGACACGCAGGAGCCCAGCTCTCTCCGGAGAGCCACGGCACCCTCGCTGCTACCTGCCAGCCCCCTGCTCTTTCCTTTCTGCCGTGAACCAGTCCTTCTGGCCCTCGGGTCAAGTGGCACCCAACCCAGGTGTGGCCACAGTCCTGTTCCAGGGTTTTCCCAGGACTACCCCTCCCTTCTGGGGACGGTAGATGCCGCCAGGGGTGCTGCACACAGAGGAAAGACAATCCGCAAACGGTCACCTGTGCAGGGCTTGGTTGTTTGTTTCAGCAATGCTACATATTTGTCAAAACAAGGGCTTCTGCCAACAATGTCTGGGACATGCGCCCCAGGTCCACGCTGGGCATTGGTTCTGGACACGAGCTGCCCCTCATGGCTCCATCATGGGCACAGACACAGAGCCCTGATCATGCAAGGAAGTGTGGCAGGGAGAGGGGCGGGGGGAAGGACGACCCCTTCCTTTTACAGTAGATCCTAAGCAACAGTAAGAAAATAACCTGAAGATATATTTAAAAATAAAAAATAGCATCACCCTCCACGGCGTCTCCCTCCCTCCCTCCTTGCCCCCCAGCAGCCAGAAAGAACAGGAGCAGGGGTGCGTTGGTCACGGACCATCTCTGCCTGTTTCTCCTTCCAAGGGGCCCTCTCTAAGCTGCTCGTGCACGGGGCCTCCTCAACCACCTTCACCAAGCAGCGCCAACCTAGGCGTGCCTCCTCACCCCCTGCCGCGATCTTCAGCACGCAGGCTTCGCTCCCAGAACACACTACAGCTCATCCTATCACGGGTGCCTCCCGCTGTCAGAGAACTCCCTGGTGCCCTGTGCCCGGAGCTGATGCGGCCTTGCCAGCTCCGTGGGGGTGTGGTGAGGAGGGAACGCTCTGGAGACCCCGCGCGTGGCTCCTGTGCCTGCAGAGTGCTCCCCGCCAGGAGCCGCCACCGCCCCGGGGAGGACCAACTCCAGTTCAATGGAAACTGGGAGAGCAGCCGTCCTCTGCCCACACCCCAGGGCATCTGGGGAATCTCTGGCTGGACAGGTGGAAGCGGCAGGCTCTCTTCCTCCTCTTCCTCCACTTCCCCCTCCCTCGACTGTGTCCCCTTCCACGCCTGGCCCCACGCTGGCATCAGGGGGCCGGCGAGGCGTCCTCTAGCCCCAGCAGCTCTCTGACGAGTCTCTCACCAAACTGTGCCCGGCTGTACCTCTTCACGTGGTAGGCGTCTGACATCTTGTACAGGATGTAGGCGTTGTTGATGGCGATGCTGATGGCAAACCAGAACACCTGTTGCCAGGTCTTGTTTGGTTTATGAGAAATGAAATACCTGAGGGTAGAGAGAATGAAAAGGTTGACCCTGGTGGCTCAACGGTACCCAACCATCCAGGAAAGAGCTGCCCAGAAGGCCCGCCTGTGACAGCCAGCAAGAGGCTGAGAGAGCTGGGCTGCAGCTTGGGGCCTTGTCACAGTGAACTTAGCCCAAGACAAACAGAAAATGAAAGCAACTCCTTCGGAAGGACCCACAGGGATGGCATGGGTTGCTGCTGGGGACCTGAGAAGCAGGTGCCAGGTGCTGTGTGCCTGGAGGGTGCAGGCCCCGCCCTCTGCCCCAAAGACCCTTCCCAAGGCTGCACTCTGGCTGTCCAGCTGCCGCCTCCGCGCTCTGGCCACACCCTCCTCAGCTCCAGGGCCAGCGAGGTGCTCCTCCCTCATGAGTGCACCTTTGCCACCTTCCCCTTCCCTTCAGGTCAGGGTTCACAGGTCACCCCTCAGGGAAGCCTGCCCAGTGCACCTGGCCACTGACCAGAGGACACTGCTCCTCCCAGGCAACCCAGCTCAGGACGGACTCGTATGCTCTGGCCGCACGTGTGTGTGTGTGTGTGTGTGTGTGTGTACCCTGACCACAAAGCATTCCACCAAAACACCCAGCACGGAGCAGGCACCCAGGCACCCAGGAATGTCCATGCAACAAGTGCAGGTTTCCTTGTAGCAGCCTCATGGAACTCAGCAAGGTGCCAAGCACATAGTAGGTGCTGATTAAAAACCAGCTTGGTGGGTCCCTCAGGAGTGGGGCCTCCTGGCACACATGGAGGGGGACACGTTTCCAGAGAGAACCAGGTCTTTGCCTGTCCTCCTTACCAAGAAAAAAGCCAAAAGACACAGGTGACCTGCATCTCCTAAGTCAACGCTCAACTGCCTTTGGAATTAGTCCAACCCAGGTTTAGGTGGCAAGGCCCAGTCCTAGAGATTGAACATGTTCAGTAGCGATCATCTGAGCTCCTGTCCTGGCCGCTGTGATGCCGGCAGGGGTAGGCGTCACGGGTGTGTGCACATCAGCGTGTGTACCCTGTGTACTCTGGGTATGCTCTGTACACACCACGGGTACATGGAACAGGAGACCACATCCGGTGATCTTCACAGGCATCCATATTTGAAGAGATCCAGCACTGAAACACACATGGCTCAGGGGAAAACATCTGGGCTGGTGTCTTAGGCGCTGTGGGTGTGGGCGAGGAGGGTGGTCTGCGCAAGGGCCACAGGAGGCGAGGGTCTGAGCTGACGGCTGAGAGAAACAGTGTGGGGAAGTGGAGGGCAGGGTGCTTTGGGGCAAAGGGAAGGAGGCCTGCGAGCAGTGGGAGCTGGGCAGGGGCTCCCGGAGGTGAGGGCGGGGTGGGTGGAGCCTGGAAGGCCAGGAGGGGGGCTCAGGGGTGTGTCTCCAGCCAGGGAAAGAAAGGCCCCCTGCCGATCTCTCTCGGTGCTGCCCATCCACTTACTTGCTGTACTTGTCATCGTATCTGCAGATGTAGCTAAGGTGAGCAGCGAACGCCTCCACGGCCAAGGGGCAGGGGATCTCCACACTCTTCCTCTTGATGATGACTCCTGCGTGGAGGAGAGGAGGTCAGGGCCGTTCCTGAACTGCCTTCTCCAAGTACGGATTCCCAGTGGTGCTGGGCCTCGCCCAGCCCGGCTGCCCTGACCAATGAGTGGAGGGGGAGGTGGGGGGAGCAGGAGGCAGAGGAGGAAGAGGAGGAGGAGGGAAGGGGGAGGATGCTTCCAAGAAGTTGAAGGAAACATCAAGGGAGCTGAGTGCACAGGCAGCTGTGGTGGAGACTGGTGCTCCGAGTGACAGGGACCCAAAGGTGGCTCCAAGGGGCAGGGTGCAGAGTGCTACACCCGGCTGGGTCTTGAGAGAGCAAAACGGGGACACAGGACTCAACCTCCCCCCGCCCCTGCCCCCCTGGCTCCTGACCCTTCCGTCAGGCTGAGTGGGGACAAGCATTCTGGAAGGAGAAGGAGGTGGCTGAGGTCAGGGGCCCCGTGGCACCATTTCTGCCTCCATCACATGGGAGGCTGTGAGGAACACAGGGATGCTCCTCTGGCTCTGCCCCCTCAGGTCTGCAGGAGTTCTGGGCCCCATGGGCTGGGAGCTGGAAGGCCCCTCTTTGCACCCAGCACTGCTTAGGCTCCCCCACACAGATGCGCCCCCATGGATGGGAACACTGCACGGGGGCCCGGCAGGGCCTGAGACACAAATGGGGACCAATGAGCCCTCTTCGCACAGCTGCCCGTGCCACGGCCCACAACCTGGGTGCCCAGGACTTGCCCGTGTGCTGACACCACACCCCGCAGGCAGTGAAGATGGTCCAGGAATGAGGGTCCAGGAGCGAGAGTCCCAGAGCTACTGGGGTTCACCTACCTCTTCCTCCGTCCGGCCTTCCCTCTCAGCACAGAGCAATTATGGGAGTGGTGCTAGTTTGTGCGTGATTTTCAAAGGCACTGGTTCACAAAATTGTGAGACTTTGGCAGTATTTAACTGGGCCGAGTCATAGTACAATCGGCCTGTCCCCTGCAGGCCCACATAGAGCCCTGGCTGTCCCCGAGGGGTGGGCGAAGCGACCAGGGTGGCTCAGATCCACCTGCAGAGTCCAAGCTGGAATCATTCCCTTTCTTCCCCCAGGAAGCACTGGCAGGGAGGAAGCACCTGGATAACAGGGGAGAAACTGAGGCATCAGGGCCCAGAGAGCAGGCTCAGGTGCCGTCGAGGCAGTGCAGTACCCAGGCTCTCCCAGTGCCCGAGGACCAGGCTAGATGCTTCCTCCTGGCCAGAGGTTATGGGCTCTATGTGTCTAGATTCTCTCTGCCCTCAGGGAGATGCTCCAGTGTGGGTGGATCTGGGGCTACTCGTGTTCTCCAGGGCTTGGCTCCCCAGCACCCAGGGGGAGGGCAAGTGCTGCAGCCCCATCTCCCACGCCCTACCTGAGGAGCCCTGGTCCTGGTGCTTCATCTCAGCCACCCCAGCCCAGTCCAAGACGGAGTGGGTCGCAGGTTTCCTATCTTCAGCTCTGTTTCAGAGTGTCTGACTTTGAATTGCAACATTCTCTGGCTCTTAAGAGGCCTGGCTCCTCTGTTGGGGAGTACACCAAGTCCCCGTGGACGTGAGCAGGTTAGACCATCTCCACAGACACAGAAGTCCCCCTAGTGATTTCCGGATGCCACCCACCCCGAGGTGAGTGTCTCATGAAGAGTCAGGGCCACTCTCCATGGAGCCCCACATCTCCCAGGTCTCCGGAGCTCCCTGGAGTCTGCAGCTGGTGTCAGGCCAACCAGGGCAGGGGCGCCTGCGCTGTCACTATCTCAATAGTCCTAGCTCCGGGAGTCCTTTTTAAACTCCTAATTTCCTTCTCATCTTTTTTGTAATTGTTCATTACCATGGGATTTCAGCTTGGAACCCTACCGACTCAAGACCTGCACCGGCCTCTGTGAGCATTTCCTTCATTCTAAGCCAGATCACCATCCTTCCCCCAGGATATTTTGGATTTTGAGATATTATTACAGCTGGCAAAGGTAAGGCAGCTTCCCCAGTACATCTTTTTCTGAGCTTCCGACATGCGAATGTTAACAGGAAGTCATGGGCTACTTATCGTCTTTGCTGACAAGCTCTGAGACATAACCAAGAACTATGAGCGTGTGGTCCACCAGCTCACTGGGGGGACGCTGCTCGCGGATGCACGCCTGCCTACCACATGTCTGTCTCTGTGACCTGCAGAGCTGCAGGGCCCTGGTGGAGAGCCCCATGTCTTCACTCTCCAGCAGCAGCTCTCTGCACCTCCCTTGGCTGGCACGCATGCCACCATTCTGCAGGTTTGAATGAATGAGGCAAGACCCGGCTCACACGTACATGCATTCTGCCTTCTTACGAACAAGGCTTGGTAAATCTGCATCTTCAATGGGCAAGGGTTTTGGCAGGGAGATGACAGACTCAACATGGATTTCAGAAAATCCGAAGGGTTGGGCTCTCCATGGTGACGTCGCTTGACATGGGATAGTATTTAAGCTTTGCAAAGTCTAGGGGGGCAGGTGTTTGGCATGGTGGTTAAAACACTGGTTAAGACGCCTGTGTCCCCTGTTGGAGTGTCTGGTTTGAGTCCTGGCTCCAGCTCCTGATAGGAGATCATATTTTGCTAATGTAGACCCAGGGAGGCAGCAGGTGAGGCTCAGGTAGTGGGTCCCTGCTGCCCATATGGGAGACAAGGATTGAGTTCCTGGCTCCTGGCTTTGGCTCTGGCCCTGGCCCAGCCCTGGTTGTTATAAGCATCTGGGAAGTGAACTAACAGATGGGAGATCTTTCTGTCAGTCTGTCTATCTCTACCTCTCAAATAAATACAGTTTTTTTTAAAAAGTCCTCTTGTGCATAAGCTCACACTGTGACAGAAGGTTCATGTTTCCTTAGACTCGAGAGGATGATAAACCCTTTCCTAAAATGTTCATACCTAGTTCTATTTTTTTCTATAATTGGAAATCCTGCTCAATTTCAAGAATAGTATGTATGGTTATAATAGGATAAAATATAACATAAAACTGAGAAGCAGTTTTTAGAATATATGGGCCTTTAGCCTATCATCTGGGTGCCATTCAAAGTAAGTAGGAAAGGATGAATTATTTGATAAATGTTTCAGGCACACAAGTGGGGCTACTGGTCTACCAACCCTTGCCATCAACCAACAACAGCAAAACACTGGAGGCCCCCTTGATGGCAGGCACCACAGTAAGTTAGAGTGAATCACAGTACAGACCACGAAGCCACTCCAGTAAATAACAGCCTGAGCTCTTGCTTCCTTGGCCCTGGGACACAGGAGGGACTCTGAAAGCATGAGTGCAGAGAACACGATCGACAGATTTGCCTACCTAGAAAGGAAAAACTTTTCTGTTAACAAAGTCCTAAGCATAAATGATAGCACCAGAAAAAGAAATGCGGAGAGAAATCTGCTACAGGAAGAGCATTTCAGATGAATGAGAAAACAACCCTCAAATTCTTCTAAAGAACCACTGAAAAGAACATGGAGAAACCCCACTAGAGATGAGCCGTAAACACGTGGAGAGACGTTCAACCTTACCATTGGTAACAGCAGTTTATACGTAAAATGTGGAAGCACTTTCACCGTCAGACTGACAACTTGAAAAAGGAGAGAGAACAGTGTTGGTAAAGCTGGAGGAACACGGGTCCCCTGGAAGCAACCTCGGACTGGCACAGACGTGCAGCCTGGAGCACACAGCCCCTCCCAACGCTGGCAGGGTCCGTCCTCCCGGGGACCCAGCACACCCACTTTCACATGTAACGTGAGGAAATGATCGAAGCTGTACCCAAGTACTTACATGTGAAAACACTCGCTACATCCTCATTCATATGGTAAAAAAATTCACCAACGGGGCAGGGGGTAAAGGAATCACAGTAAGGCTAAAAGGATGGAATATAAGGATTTTTTTTTAAATTACGCTTTTTGAACTACATGAAGAAGAAAACTATTTCTCTTTATTAAAAAAGAGAAAAGGAAGTCAAAGATGTGATCTAGAAAGAGGATTTCCAGTGGGAAAGAGCAGCTGGCCCCAGCCCAGGCTGTCCACCAGTGATCTGCACCTGTCCTGCCTCATGCACGCTGCACCCAGGCCTGTGTGTACCCGCAACGCGTCCCCTGCTGCTTTCTAGGGGCACAGGGGGAAGGGACAGGATCCCTGGAGGTAAGGAATAAACCTGCAGGTATGTGGGGTCATGGTCAGGATGTGAGGCTTTATCATGTAAGACAGAGTATTTTGAAACCAGAAATCATAACCAGATAAAACACAAACACTAAATTTCAGTACATTTTTTCTTTTCAAATCTGAAAGAAACAGAAAAAGGAATCTCCCCTTGACTGGTTCACTCCCTAAATACCCACAATAGCTGGGCCTGGGCTAGGGCAAAGAGAAGCTCAGAGCTCCATCCATCCCCATCCATCCCCATGTGGTGGCAGGGACTCAACTACCTGGGCCATCACCTGCTGCACCCCGGGGTGCACATTAGCAGGAAGCTCGCATTGGGACCAGAGCCGGGACTCAAACCCAGGCACTAGGTTACGGGATGCTGGCGTCCCAGCCAGTGTCTTCCTTTTTTTTTTTTTTTTGACAGGCAGAGTTAGACAGTGAGAGAGAGAGAGAGAGAGAAAGGTCTTCCTTTTTCCGTTGGTTCACCCCCCCAAGTGGCTGCTACGGCCGAAGCCAGGAGCCAGATGCTTCCTCCTGGTCTCCCATGCAGGTGCAAGGGCCAAGCACTTGGGCCATCCTCCACTGCCTTCCCGGGCCACAGCAGAGAGCTGGACTAGAAGAGGAGCAACCGGGACAGAATCCGGTGCCCTAACCGGGACCACAATCCGGTGTGCCGGCGTCGCAGGCGGAGGATCAGCCTACTGAGCCTTGGCGCCAGCCGAGCCAGTATCGTAACTATTCTGCCAGATGCCTGCCCCAATTTCAGTAGATTTAAAAGTCAAGTCTATGAGCTCTCTTTCTTCCTCCATCAAGGCTCTCCTTACTAGTTCCCTTGGTGTTTGATCTGAGGGCCCCAACCCTAAAAACTGGGCTGAAAGATTTTCAGGATTGTCAGCTTACGTCCTATGCCATTCCCCTCTTGCCTTCCTCCTCTTCATTAACTCATGAAGCTCCAACAACACACCATGCTGCTTTGGGATCCCTTACAGAGGCCAGAGTTTAAAAGAACTTGGCGGAAGAAGCTCCTGCAATCATCTTCCGACCGTGCTCCCTGGGAATGTCCTTGCCTGTACCAAGGCCCTCAGCACTGCAGTCTAGAAGTCTAATCCAAGCCCCGGCCTCCAGCCTACAAGGCCAACTCCAAGCTTTTCTTCAAACATCCCTGAACACAGCACTCAGAGTGCCAGCTTCCCGAAGCCCTCTAAACAGACACGGGGCAATGCCACTACCTGCTCGAGTACCTTGATTATGATCGCAACGGAAATTAACTCAGCGAAGGAGTGGAGGATGCAGGATGGGAGTAAGTACGCAACATGCATTAAATATGCATGCATATGTCACAACACAGGAACAGATATAACACACACACACACACAGACCCAATACCGGCACACACACCATACCTCACAGACACAAAGATACACACACACACACACACACACACACACCCCTCAACTGAGCTCCTTGTTCCTTCAAACGCCAAAAGAAAAAGGTATCTAAACGTAAAAGAATACAAGATACTGTTCCTGTATATGGTACCACGTAAATTTTCTTGTAAACCACCCTTCTGTTCTCTCGATTTTCTTTTCTGCTGTGTAATAATGTTTTTACTGGAGGCTGTTTCAAATATAGACTCCTAAGTAAGTGCCTTGGTTATCAACGGATTTTAAATCCCAGAGAAAGTTAATGAAGAAATTAATGAACATCCGCAAACCAGACAGTTCAGGTGCTAAACAGCCAAGAGACAGTGAAAGATAAGAATGGATCTGTCATGGAACCCAAGGTTCAAACATAACCAATTACCATATCCTATGTGCAACCTGGGGGTGCTTACGGAAGCTGCTGAAGTCACCTTGCAAGCCCCATCATCCCGACTTCTCTGACAGTCACAGGACTCTAGTGGTTCAGGAAGCCCCTTCCTCACCTGCCGCCCTATCTCCTAGACAGATGTGGAAGCAGCAGTGACTGGCATGGCTGAGAGGGGCTCCAAATTCACCCCGTCCCCTGTCTCACTTCCCCCCACCCCCTTCTAGTGCCTCGGACACCCCTGGTATGGACAGGGGTCTGCACTCACCTTGCTGCACTGGGGAGTAGGCGTTGGTCAGGAAGCGGAAATGCCCTTTGTTGTACCAGCAGATCAGGGACATGTTGCCCTTGGTCTTGATTTGGTACTGGCCCCGGGCTGGGGGGGTGGCCGGGTTGGTCAGCATGGACAGTGGGAGGCCAGTGCAGTCGCTCTTCCTGGCGCTGAGCAGGCCACAGCAGTAGATCCCTGGTGGTGAGGAGAGCCCAAAATCACACACACGCCATTGCAGGCAGCTCCTGGGGCCCTGTGCACACCCAAGGAAAAGATGGCGCTGCCCTGTTCTCACGAGGATTCCTGAGATAAACCTTCTAGAAGGCCTTCCAAAGGTACAGCTCAGGGCCTCTGATCCCTCTGGTGTCTCCTCCAGTGCCTTCACAAGAATATATACTAAGATCGAAGGCAAGGCAGTGGTACAGCAACGGATCAACAGGAACGATGGAGCCCGTACCATCAAGAGGGCTCGGCAGGTGCCTGGCACAGTGCTACAAGCACCCATCACCCCAGCTACTGCCAGCCACTTGTGCACTCAGTCATCATACGCATGTCAGAGAAGAGGAAATGAGGCTGGGTGAAGGCATGACTCCTCCTGCTCAAAGACAGGCAGGAAGTTCAAGTCTAGGAGACAGGCCAATCCAGCTGGAGCTCCATGTTCCCAGTGGTCTCACTGAGACTCGGCCAGCTATGGCCAGTGTTGTACCAGTGCCCACAGCTCCCCAGGCAGCTGTGTGAGCCACAGCCACCACCTCCTGGGGGAGCTAAGTTACAGGCAAAGGCAAGCAAGAGTCATCAATGAATACAGACTAAACCCAGTGTCCTTCAGCGAGCGGTGGACAGCAGGGCCCTGCACACAGCCTCTCGGAGCCGGAGCAGAGGGCAGCGTGAACAAACGTCCACTGAGGCCTCGCCAAATTCCAGCCTGGATTGCAGGCCTCTGCAGTCCTTCCTCTTTGGGGGCCTGCTCCATCCCAGCCGCTCCTCCTCAGACTAAGCCCCTGGAGAGGGCGAGGAAGCCCTTCCCTCTCCTCTCAGCGCACTGAGGCTAGATACGGCACCACCAGGCCCTGGGACGTGTTCCGTGTTTCATGTGCATGGTTCCTCCTCATCGGCACCCTGCACTGGAAGGAGGACACCCTGACGCCTTCTTCTCTCTTCTGCGTCCCTCTCCTTGCTGCCCACTGCCCTCGCCAGCAGCAGCAGGTGCAGAGGAAGAAGCGCTGGGGGGTAAGGGGGGCTGCATTTATAAAGAGGAGGCTCCCTGCTGCCCACGGCTGCACTCCCAGCCATGGGATGGAGCCACCCAAGCTACTCGAGTCTCGAGATTTAAGAAGAACCTGTTTCTCGAAACGGGCGGTGGGGGGGTGGGGGAGATCACACAAATAAGGCTGAGGGTGTTTGTCACTTATCTGCGGCTCTGTGTACAGCAGCAGCCAGTCAGCACCTGCATTTTCACAGAGGGAAAGAAGAAAAGAAAGCACTACTCCCATTTCCACCAATCTATCCCTTTATGACGAGTAGGGGCTGCTCCAGGAATGTCCTTTGTGGCTTCTGTTTTGCAAAGTAGTCTGTGTGTGACCTGGCAGCGAATGACCCCTTTCCTGCTAGACTCAGGTTCTGTGTGAGGGCCACTAACCCAGAGAAATGTCATCCAAGTCTTGGGGTGGGCACAGCCACTAGTGACCTGCTGTGTGGGCACAGTGGAGAACCTCCGCCCAGGAAGCACAGGACGCCACCCGTGTGAAGAGCTCAGTAACTCTAACTGCTTCCAAAAACAGGCAATGCGCTCTCATTGGTGCACTACCTCACCTTCCCTTGAAAAAAGTCTAATTCCATTTCTAGTAATTTTCATCCAGATAGAACTGTCTCTTTCCATTCTCCTGCTAAGTCCCTGAGCCATGAAGCACTTGTTCTCAGAATCACAGGAGCAGCACCGACAGCCTGGGGCCATCCCCTGGCTTCCACTGTCCTCCCGGGAGCTCTGTCTGCACGGCATGAGCCCACCTGAAACACACACTCTGAGCTGGCCTTGAATTTACTGCTTGACCCTCGGTCTAGGTTGACAGTGCAAGGCAGGGGGGAGGCTCTGTGACGCACACAACCACCAGCAGCTGTATCACTGTACATGCAGTACCCACACTCGAATTTGCGCCAGCCAGCGGGTGTGGGCGGCAGCCTGTGCAGTCACCAAGACCCTGTCTTCTTCCACAGTGGCTGCTGGAAGTGCAACAGGGCCAGTTTTCTCTAACTTTCCTTCTGCGGCCCCTCTTCACAAGGTCTGATCCTCTCTACAGTCCATTCACCCACCGGGGCTCTGCAGGGGAGTGAGCTGCTTCGAAGGCTAGCAAGCGGCATAGAGCCTGGGGCTGCTTCCTCCTTGTGCTTGTGGAGGTCCCAGCACGTAAGCTCCCTGCTTCTCTTTGCCTACAAGGGCCTTGCTCTAAGGCCAAATGTCTGATCTGTGGCTGAGCCACAAGAGGTCTACCAGTTCTGGTGGCTGCCATAGCCCACAGGCACAGGCTGTGCTTGAGTGTAGATTAACATCCTCAAACCCAGGGCGAAACACGCCACATGCAGCTTCTTCCACGGTGCTCCCTGGCCTCGTCCCCTATGTCTGGAGAGCCACGGAAGGCACGCCCAGTCTTTGCAATGAGCGACTAGTCAAGCACCCAGGGCGCCTCTGATCTCTCTAAACCCCTTATGTTGTTTCCTAGCTTCCCAAGATTCACACTTGCCAGCAGGGATGGGGCCACATCACTGATGCCGAATCAGCATGGGAAACTTTCTAGTGCCTTCCTAGGAGCCAGACTGCTGAGTGTCTTCAATGCCCACACAAAGAATACCCTGGAGCAGGGTGGAGCTTTGTGCCACCATGTCCCCAGACCACTGGCCCATGACTGACACCAGGAGATCTCAGCGTCCAGCAGGGACAAGGCACCCTCAAGGATGGGTCTCCTTGCCTGGCCTCCTGTGGTCTGTGCTGCCACTATGCACCCCAACCTGTCCTGCTACAGCCTCGTGGAGGTGGGGCCAGTGCGTGTCCTGGCTTCCCTTCTTGACAAACCTTGCTTCTCAAACTCCTCAAACAGGGTCAGGCTGGTGATGCTGGGCCCCGTGAAGATGATGTAGTTCCTGCCCGCTGCGTTCCGACATAGACTCCGGGCCACCATGCCATGGAGCTGTGGCTTGTTCTTCAGCGTGTCCAGGCCATCAGGGCCCCCACCTTCCTTCAGGTGGACGTAAATCTGTAGCAGAAGCACACAGCGGTCAGTGCACTCGCAGTGGTATCGGGCCGGGAACCCAAAGGCTTGCAAGGCAGGGGTCTCCCATCATCTCTTCTGCCCTCAGGGACCCCAGGCCACTGCAGACTCAGCCCTGGAGGCTTCTGTTTGGAAAGGTCAAGGTAGAGAAGGAGAGAGACAGGCAGTTACAGGTAACGAACTTGACAATTGAGTCATGCAAATATATGCCCCAGTTCTGAAACCCAAGAGAGACTTAGGGTTACCATCGATAAAAGTGAAGCCTCCCTCACCCATTAGGAACATGCTCATTGGGTACACCTTTCTAATGTATGAAGTACATTCACAAGGACTTGCATTCGTTCTTTATGGTAACTCCCACGTGGTGGGTGAATTGGTGTGTATATGCTTTGCCTCATGGCACAGGACAGAAAATGGGAATGGGGATCCAGGACCAGCAGAAGAGGTGCAGGACTAAGTAAGCAATTTTTAAATTTGAAAGGCAATGTTATATTTATGGAGAGAGTGGGTGAGTGGGAAGGAGAGGGTGGTGGCAATCTTTCATCCTTTGGTTCACTCCCCAATGCACCAATGGCCACAACAGCCAGGCTGGTCCAGGCTGAAGCCAGGAACCTGGAATTCTATCCAGATCTCCTATGTGGGTGACAGGGGCCCAAGCACTAGGGCCATCTTCCAATGCCTTCTCAGGCACACTAGCAGGAAGCCAGATCGGAAGTGGAGCAGCCGAGACTTGAACCAGTGCCCATGTGGGATGCCAGCATTGCAGGCAACAGCTATAGTAAGCAAATTTTAAACCCTGTGTTCCACGGTGCTGGCATGAACATCATCAAAGAGGAGATACGGAAAAGTGGATGGATACAAGAAAACACAGTCCTCCCTGTGGCTGAGAGCCACGAAGGGTGAGCCACACAGTAGCAATGATGTCCTCCTTTAGGGAGAGGAGCTCCTGGGTGCCTGAGCTGGGCAGCCGTTCATGAGCTAATCATGCTTACCTGAGAAGCACACTGACACTTGGGCAGCAGGAGAGCCCTAACTGTTCAGAGGCACAGAACTGCTAAGCGAGGGGCTGTTGCATGCAAAATGCTATTGATGTTCCATCTGAGAAGCACCAAGACAGACCACACGGAGAACCCAGCCCAGCCACTTCAGTAACCATCCCAGCAAATGACTCCAGCATCCCTTACAAAACACACGTGTCTTGTGGGGAGCAACTCAGACTAGACTAAGTTACTGGAATTAAGACTTATTCTATGCATCTGCTCTCCCACAATATGGCGCTGGGAGAGGAGTAAACAACTTCTACGCAGCTGCCTCTCGCCAGCTTGACTGATGACCTGCAGGAGCTGATCCTGCTCCTGATAGGAGGAGAGCAGCATGCTCGGCGTGTGGGTAGCAGAGTTGGGATTGGTGGAAGAGGACTATAAAGGAGGAGAGAGACAACATGCACCAGGAACATCCGGATAACATCTCAGCAGCCCCCCGAAGAGAGCCGGCCGGCGGTGTGCCACTCCCCCGCGGAAGTGGGGAAAGTGGCAGGGGGAGCTGCCCCTCCACAGAGGTGGAGGGGTCGGCAGCCAACCCGGGAAGGACCAGCAGCAAACCCAGGAAGGGCCGAGCAGACGAAAGAACAGCGCAGGGTCCTGTGTCATTCCTCCGCGAATGGGGGAGCGACAGTGTCTGGTGTTCTCAAGGCAGATGAGAGCGAGTGGATGACAGGAAGTAGGAGGTGCATGACGCTGGGTGTTAGCTTTGCCCTGGGATGTGACACTGGTTGCATGACATTGCAACAGGGAGTGTCTTGGGAAGTACGGATTCAGGAGTCATCCCTTACGGGGCATGGACAACGTGCGCCATTTATCTCAGCCCTTCTTGAGCAGCACTCTGAGACCTGCAAAAGCAAGACCCAGTTCATCTGTTCTCAACTTCTCCAAAGAACACTGGGGACAACAGCAGTAACCGATGGACTGAAAAGCAATCGGTTTTGTACTGGCTGGTATTTCTACAAAGCTGTTGCTAGAATCTGGGTGTTCTCTTACCTCTAAAATAAAGAATCAGAAAAAGCCTTGTTCAGTTCTGCTGGTCTTGACTATCTGCCCTACTGCGTCTCTTTCAGAAGAGAAGAGAATCAGGTGTCTCCACTGCTGGTTCAGAGCATATTTGGTCACATAGAAGTCACTCATTAGGGACTGATGATTCTTTGAACCCATTACTGTGGCCGTGCAAGGTGCTGGTGGAGTGTGTTAGTAACCCGGTTGCGGGGAACGGGCACAATAGTGCGCAATCTGCATTCACTGAATCACGGATGTGTGTACGGCTGTCACTGGGACGCCTGCATGGGACGGCCACTCAGGAGTCATGGATTTAAATGGTGTTCACAGCCCACGAGAGGGACTGCAGCTGGGGAGGGTATAAGTGCTGGACTTAATGGGCATGGGCTCTGTTATCTACTGACTTGTGCGATTCTGGATAAGCGACCTGTTGCTCTGAGCCTTGATTTCCCTGTGTGTCAGGCTAAGATGCTGTATGTACCCAGAGGACCACTGTCTAGAGGGGAGAGTCATGCACACAGAAACAACCTGCTTCACTACAATGTCCCCCACTGTCTGTTGGAGCACACATTCCAATACCCCCAGGGTATGGCTGAAACTGCAGAGCGCACCAAATGCTCTCTCACAGCAGGCACTGTGGCCCCAGCTCTCACCGTCTGGGGCGAGACAGCAACACTAGCACTGGCTTCTTTTTCCTTTCATGGAGAGATTTGTTCTCAGCGTGAACATCAGCAATCTCAGGCCACAACTATTTTTTTTTTTTTTCTTTCCTTAAGTTGGGAACTTTCACCTCTTCATTAAAGAAAGCACTTCACACACTCTCTTCAGCATTTCCAAACTGCCAGCATTGCTACTCTTTCTCTTGGGGGCCATTATTAAGTAAAATCAAGGTTACCTGAACGCAGGCACCACAAACACTACACATCACTCTGACAATCAAGACCACTGCTAACTGACTGTTGTGTGGGATATGCACATACTTTAAAACTTATGAATTGCTTCTTTCTGGAATTTTCCATTCAGTATTCCCGGATCGCAGTCGACCATAGGGAAGGGAGACCACAGGTGGAGGGGAACTACTGTGTAGGAACGTGCTACAGCTACGCTGTCCAGCGTGGCTGCCCCTAGACACGCACAGCTGTTGTAGTTGGCAATTAAAGGAACTAAAGAGGCAAAGTCAGCTCCTCAATCACACTGGGCACATCTCAAGTAGTCAAGTTACACATGGCTGGCGGCTGCCATGATGGAGAACACAGATACAGACCATCCCATTATCACAGGAGTCCTACTGGGCAATGCTGTAGATGCCATTCTTGCTCACGACGCAGGGTTTCCAGCAAAGTCTAGAAGCTACCACTACCCTGATGACTTTTACTTCTCATGCCCCATTTTTCTCTCTGTTGCCTCTTGCCATGCCTGTGACCAGGAGGAGCTCATGCACGGAGCCTAACATTGGCCCTTCTCCTCTCCAGCTGCACCTGCAGCATCGCTGACACCTCTGAGAACCGTGCTTGTGACTCATCCCAACATTCAAAGCCTGAAGAGGTTCCTTAAAAATGGCTTGGAGGAGGGACAGTGTCAGAGCACCCTGTGGGGTCTCTGTGCCCACTCATGTCCAGGTCACAAGTTCCCTAGGGAAAGGGCCAGGGTTTAATCTGGTGCACACAACTGGGTACTTCATAAACACTTTATGGCCTTCTTTGAACCCTTGTATGGCAAGGAGACCTGGGACAATGAATCCAATTAAAAAGATTGGGAAAGAAGGTCATTCCCAGCCATTAGCTCAAGGCACACAGAGAGGTCTACAGTGATGTCTCCCACTGCCAGCCCCACCCTGGAACATAACTACATCCAGCCTGGATGGGATGCACCCTCAGCCCTGCACAGCTCTGCCAATGGACAAATATCCTGCCCTGCCCAGCCCCTGACTCAGGGGCAATGTTCACTTGAGCCAATTAATTTCACTCTGATTCCAGCTGGTTTTGTTTTTTAAGATTTAGTTATTTGCTTGAAAGGCAGAGTGACAGGGGTGAGGGGAAACACATACACAAACACACATACACATACAGAATTGATCTTCCACCTGCTGGTACACTCCCCAAATGGTTGCAAGGATGGGCCAAGCCAAAGCTAGGAGCCTGGAACTCCATCCTGGTCTCCCACATGGGTGGCAGGGGCCCTAGAACTTAAGCCATCTCATGCTGCTTTCCCTGGCTCATTAGCAGGGAGCTGGGTCAGAAGTGGAGCAGCCAGGACTGGAAGCAGCTCTCATATGGGATGCTGCCATCCCAGAAGGTGGCTACAGCATACAGCCAGCCCCTGGGCCCCACCGTCAGAGCTAATCTAGTTAGTTATAAGTCAGAAGCCAAAGATTTCCTTCTTTTAGTATATAAAAACAATTAAAATTCAATTAAGTAAGAAAAAAACTTTAGGACTATCTCCTTAGATTCTTCTAACATAAAAAGTATCTTTCAAAATAAGAGAGGGGAAGGGCTGAGCTGGATAGTGACTGATTTCTTCCAGTGATTGCCCACACAGAAACACCGATTTGAGCAACTATCCACGCGTGAAGATACCTTCACAAGAGCTAAGGAAACTGAGAGACCACAGCACCTGCTTTTAGCATAAGAAAAGACACTGCTGTGTCACCCTCACTGCAATTCCAAGGCAATCCCCGGGCTGCCTCCTCCACGCCTCCCCCAACCTCAGACAACACAGTGTGGGGTCACAGGACAGGACAGGAAGCACTGGGCCCACAGGAGAGAAACCCAATCCCGAGCAGCACTCAGCAGCCCAGGATGGCTCCTCTGTACCTGCCCCAGAGAGATGTAGAGATAGACTGTGTCCTGCCAGCATCACCTCTGACCAGCTGCAGCAGCCTGAGGTCTCGCAGGGACCACAGAGGCAGGCAAGCTGCAGCCTTGATCCTGCTCCTGT